GAGAGAGAGAGAGAGAGAGAGAGAAAGAGAGAGAGGCTGGGAACTGGAAAGTTTAAAGAACTAAACTTCAACTCTGTCTAAGTAGAGCTGTTTCAAAGAAACATTCGGGGAAAACGACACTTTTTAAAATGAAGATTGGTTTATTTATAGAAAGAGAGATCTTACTAAGCTAAACACAAAATGTAAAAAATAAAACATCTTCTTTGATCTTGGGAGATAGAACTGCTCGATAATCAAGCACGCCATTGAAACCACAATATTCAGACACCTAGAGTAGGCTATCTCGTGCGGATTCAGTTCAAAAATAGATAATGGATAGCATTTGTATAGCATATCCCCGCTCAACAGCAAGCTCTATGCGCTTCACAATCACTTTTGTGGGTGCGTACAAATTATGTGTGACTTCGACCAAAATGTATTCAGTATATGATTCGGGTATTTTGTTCCACTCAAGCTCAACCACAAGTAAAGACGTGGGGGTCAGCAAAAGTCGGATTGGGTTTTTTGTGGTTTTTTTTTTACGAAAGCAGCGCCCAGGAAACGAGAAAAGATACATTTCTTTGCAGGTTTTACTGAAATAAGTCTGGGGTCAAAACATGGGGTGAAATAGTTAATTAAATTTTAATATTTCAATATAGTTACTCTGTCTTTCAACAATAATTATTGTAAGGTTCCAAAGAATCTCGAAAAAGCAGAATAAGGAAAGATAACTCATTGTTGCGGGCAATGGTTTATGAATGGTTAATTGTGCTTTTTAATAGCTCTCCTAGCTACGGGGAAACAGGAGGGTAGAAAACATTATATAATAATCTATTTACAAAGTAAATGTCTTTGTGAGAAATGAAACCCGCAACATCCGTAAGGCATACAGCTTTTTATTGATACAAAAGAAAAAAAACGACGACCCAACTAAAATAAAAAACCGTTTTTTATTAAAGAGACTGTTCGAGATCAGAATTTGAATTTGGGAAGGAAGTCTTTGGAGAAGGCAGTGCCGAAAGCGCCATCTTTGTTGAGCCCTTTGCCGAAATCTTTGCCGAAGTCTTCGTAGGTCGGGAACACTCTAGCTGGTGTCTTCACCACTGCTGGCTTGACGACGGTGACCTTTGCGGCAGGGACGTAGCCGGGGTAGGCACCGACTCTCTTGGCGGGAACGTAATCGGGGTAGGCACCGACTCTCTTGGCGGGAACGTAATCGGGGTAGGCGCCTACCTTTTGGACAGGGTATGGGTCGCGGTACACCGCCCTCACGGGAACTAGCGCTTTCTTGCCCGGGTACACGTCCTTGGCGAGGAGAGCTGGCTTGTAATCGTCTCCTCTGTAGCTGTCGTAGTAGCTGGGACGGTAGTCGTAATCACTGTAGGCTGGGACGACCTTCTTCACTGGGTACGCCGCGGGGCGGACGTAGTCGGGAGCGTAATCGAATCCTTTTCTTACCGGCACTACCGGCTTCACATAATCAGGAGCAAACCCGAATCCCTTCTTTACTGGTACAACGGGCTTCACGTAATCGGGGGCGAACCCGAATCCTTTCTTTACTGGAACGACTGGCTTCACGTAATTGGGGGCAAACCCGAATCCTTTCTGTACTGGGGCAATAGGCTTGACGTAGTCAGGGGCGTAGTCGAAAGCTTTCTTGACTGGCACGAGCCCTTTCCCGCCGAAGACTCCCTTGGTACCGAAAGCTCCCAGTCCGGATACCGGGGCGTAATCAAAAGGCTTCTTGACGGCAGGCCCGAGTCCTTTTCCAGCGAAGACACCCTTAGCGCCGAAAGCTCCCAAACCAGAGACGGGAGCGAAGCCGGGGCCGAACTTGTCATCGTAGACGGGTTTCTTGACTGGGTACACTGGTTTGTAGTCATAGTCGTAGGCCTTCTTCACAGGGACGACTGCTGCCTTGTAGCCTAACTCTTTCCCGTATCCTGGCCCGTAGTAGTCTCCGACGGCGGGGTAGGCAGGCCTGTAGTCATAGTCAGGAGCGTAGACTTTCTTCACGGGAACAGCGGCGGGCACCACTTGCTTGTAGTTGTAAGGATCTGCGTAGGCCTTACCGTACCCCGCCGGGGCGTAGTCGTAGTCGTAAGCCTTTTTCACTGGTACGACCGCCTTTTTGGGAGCGTAGTCGTAGCTTCTGAAGGGATTCTGACCTGTGCTGTAGTCTGGGAAGCCAAGTTTCGGGTAGGTCGGGCTGTACTTGTCGAAAGATGGGAAAGGTGGCGGCTTGTAAGGGGGCAGATCTTTTCTGGGAAGTACGTCACCAGCCATCGCCAGGGCGACCAGCGCCATTATGAGGAAGGTTCTCGTCTAGTTGTGGAGATGAGGAAAAATGGTTGATCAATTGGGGGGTAGGTGAGGCACCTTGCTGACAATGTTTTATGCGTCAAATGACAGAGAGAGAGAGAGAGAGAGAGAGAGAGAA